CAAAAAAAAGTCCAGAGGACTTTAAAGTGTTTGATAAGCCAGGCTCGGTGGCTCAGCCTGTAATCCTGTGCCTTTGGGAGGCTGAGGTGAGTGGATTGCCTGAGCCTGTGGGCTCGAGACCTGCCTGGGCAGCAAGACCTCATCTCTACAATAAATCAAAAAATCACCCAGGTGTGGTAACGCATGCCTGTAATTCCGGCTACTTGGAAGGCTGAGGCGGAAGGATCGCTGGAGCCCAGTGGGTCGAGGCTGCAGTGGGCCACTGCACTCCAGTCTGGGCGACAGAGTGAGACTCCAACCCAAAAAAAAAAAAAAAAAAAAAGTGTTTGACAAATTGGGTAGTGATTCCCTGTGACTAATGGAAGTGAGAGGGTGGGATGGGGATATCACAAGAGATTAGGAAAGATGTGAAACATCTCATCTCGGGGTTCTGTCTTCAGCAGGAATGACAAGCAGAATCTTACTTTGGAAAAATTACTCTTGCAACATTATGGAGGGTAATCTGAAAGGAGAAAGACTGGAGAAAAAGAGACAAATTAAATACCTTGCTAAAATGTAAAAGAAAGAACGTAGGGAATGCAGGGATGAGTAGATAGAGAACAATTTAATTGGATGAAGAAAGCTAGACAATGCATGGAGGAGGCGGGACAAAGGAAAGTGAAAAGCCGGAAGTGACATGTGCACCTACAGCACCAGGGCAGCAGTCCCCAACCTTTTTGGCATCAGGGACTGGTTTAGCTCAAGGTGTTACTTTCCACAGACTTGGGGTGGGAGTGTGGAGAATGGTTTGATGATTCAAGTCCATTATATTCATCGTGCACTTCATTTCTAAATCCCTTGCATGCACAGTTCACAATAATGTTCACACTTCTGGGAATCTAACGCCCTCAGCTGATCTGACAGGAGATGGAACTCTAGGGGCAATGTGAAAGATGGGGAGCGGCTGTGAATACAGATGAAGCGTGACCCACCCACTGTTCACCTCCTGCTGTGCAAACCGGTTCCTAACTATCGGGGCCAGGGGGTTGGGGTCCTTTAGCCCAGGCAATGGGAACTGCAGGCAGGAGAACCAGTAACGCTGAAGAGGGTCTGGAGGACTGAGTGGGTCAGTGGTGGACACAGAAATTCAGTGGAGACATGTGGGGTTCACTTTAGGAGTTATCTAGACTTCCCACCAAATTAGTACTTAGTTACACATGTTAGTTCCACAAAAATGAGTTAGGAGAGCTTCATGGGAAAGGAACTGAGTAGCACTTATGTTGAAAGAACTGAGGACACAATTATCTTCCATTTAACCTTGCTGTTTTCTATGTTGAAATATTTTTTGATAAATGTAGTGCAGCTTTTACTAGCTAAGTATTTTTTCTTAAATTGCCAAATGTTTGCTAGATTAAGACATGCTTAACTTTTTCTAATGAGATTGTAAGCACCTAGAGAGCTAGGATACCCATTCTTTCAAATTTCCTCTCCACACCCAGCATCTCCACACCTTTTGTGGCTCATTATGTAGCAAGAAGAAACATAATTATTCTATACAAAGAAATAGTCTTGGGATGGATTGGATGGAAAGTATCCATCTTCATTACTGGCATTCATATCATCTGCCACCCTTATTTGCCAGTGTTATGCAATTCAGGGTAAATTGATGAAGCAGCACAGTTTCAGACAGTTTATTTCTTCAAACTTGACCAGTCACCCGGGGCACTGTGCACTAGAAATGTGCCTGGTGCAAGGGAGGAACTGGATTTGTAATTTTAATTAACATTTAGTTATTGGGAAACACTTAACTATGTTATGAATAACTTAGATATGTAAATCTACTTCTTCAACTCCAAGTGGTATGAAATCTCTATACATACTAAATATTTCTAGTAAAAATATTTCAAAATTGAGATGTCTTCTAAATGTAAACTACACAGTGGATTTTAAGGACATTCTAAAAATGGTTATGATACCACAATAATTTAAAAAAATAACATGTAGCCAAAGCAATATTTTGGCTATACTAGCTAAACAACATACTAATTAAAATTAAATTTAATTGTAAAAGATTATGGCTACTAAGAAACTCTCCATTTATATTTCTATTAAGATGACCCCGAGCCAGACAAGTATAGTAGGATTAAGTAAGAGAAAGATTTCCTTTTCTTATGAGAAATAATTCTTCTGATCTTTTTTCTAAGAATATTTACTTTAAATCTTCTTATTTTTGTATGTTCATATACAACAGGGCCAAAAAACCCCAAATCAACAACAAAAACACCCCAGAATTATTTTTTGGAGGGCGGGCCCCTTGTAGTACACAGGTTTCCCCACTAGGTAAGTGTTCTAGGAACCCATCAGCATCAGTGTACCTACCATTGTTGTGAGACACGCATTAGGCCTCACTGAAAATTTTTTTTGGGGGGTTCTTTTAATACATTTGTCCATTTCATCATGAGTGATTTACATAAACAATCTGCCCACATTGCACTGAGCCTTCAGCAGTTTTCAACCAAAAATGACATTACCCCTGTGTCCCATCCTCCCTATTCCTATTTACCTGATCTCACCCCAAGTGACTCCCCCCCTCCACCCAGATGAAAAAATGTCCTCAAAGAGAAACGTTTTGCTAATGTGGAAGAGGTGAAACAAAAAATGACAGAAGCACTAAAAGGCATCAACACTGAGTTAAAAAACTGTTCTAAGCAGTAGAAAAAGCATCTTGATAGGTGCAGTACATCAGACAGAGTACTTTGGAGGTGACTGAAGTTTAAAGATGTAAGAATAAACATACAATTTTTAATAAATAAACTCTGGACTTCTGGGGGTTCTTCCTTGTATAAATTTGTCTAACTACAAAATCACTGCTAACAACTGTGTAAGCCAGTTGGCTTTAGACAGCTCCTGGAGTTTTTTAAGGATTATTTCTTGGCAGCTCTTGAACAAAATTAAAAATATTAATTGAAATGTTAATCAAATCAGTCATACTAGTATGTTGGTTACATAAACACCCTGTCTCCACCAAAGATTAAACAGATGCATTATACCCTACCTAGAAGGCCCATTTATTCTGTAATCATCTTCACCTTTCGAGGTTCTAGGTAATAGGGCAGTACTTCAAATACTATGTAAATTAAAGTTTTATTCCAATTTATGAAATGTTTCTGCACTTCTAGGATGCTAAAAAATCTAAAGTATTTCAGAGCAAAACTAATTTCGCATGTGGTACACAAGGGGAAAAGGTTAGTTCTACCTCTACACAGAGATAAGTAAATATCTCTAAGTGTGCTTAGGTACAAAAATATGTGCTTAAAAGTAGACATTTGTCAATAATACCATTAAATGGAGTGGCAACATGTAATATACCTGGGAAAAATTGCTGTTAGGACACATTATAGCTCATCATCATAGCTCAACAGATACATTTTTCAAATAGGAAATGAACATATAAATCAGTCATATTTAATAAGACCTGAATGTGCTCACGTGGTAATCATTATCATGGTGAAATCACCACAGATTAAGCATTAGATAGGGAATTGATAATGTTGAAGACATTGATTCTTACTTTAAAAATATGAGATTGTGTTGGGTGCAGTGGCTTACCACCTGTAATCCCAGCACTTTAGAAGGCTTGGGAGAGAGGATTGCCTGAGCCCAGAGTTTCAAGACCAGCCTGGACAATTTGGTGAGACCACATCTCTACAATAAATTTTTAAAAATTATCTGAACATGGTGGCACATGCCTGTAGTTCCTGCTACTTGGAAGGCTGTGGAAGATCACTTGAGCCCAGCAGGCTGAGGCAGCGGTAGCTGAGATCATGCCGCTGCACTCCAGCCTGGGCCACAGAGTGAGACTCTGACTTAAGAAAAATAAAATTAAAAATATGAAATTGTGTTGATGTCTGTAAAACTGAACTTCCTTTTCATTTCTAGAAATAACTCCACACAGTCCTCCTTACCCTATCAACGTTGGAAGAAATACCTAGAGCAATTATGTCTGGAATGTGTAAGCAACATTACATTACAGCCCTACAGGAATATTGAGCATACCCATAAAATGGAATTCATTCTGTGTTAACCTTTTTAAATACATGTGCTAGCCGGGCTCGGTGGCTCAGCCTGTAATCCCACGCCTTTGGGAGGCTGAGGTGAGTGGATTGCCTGAGCCCGCGGGTTCGAGACCCGCCTGGGCAGCGAGAGCTCATCTCTACAATAAATCAAAAAAATCAGCCAGGCATGGTAGCACATGCCTGTAATTCCGGCTACGTGGAAGGCTGAGGCGGAACGATCGCCGGAGCCCAGCAGGTCGAGGCTGCGGTGGCCGGGAGCGGCCACTGCACTTCAGTCTGGGTGACAGAGTGAGAATCCAACTCAAAAAAATAAATAAATAAAAAATAAAATAAAATAAATAAATAAAAATAAATAAATAAATAAATAAATACATGTGTTTAATCTAAACTGTGTTAAGAACAAAACCAGATTGTGCAATTAAAGAATAAGTTCTCAAGTAGATCATAAATATTCCTAGGAGGACATTTCCAGTATTATTACAGAAGCAAACTCAATGCTTCAGGAACATGTCTGAGGAGCAAAGTGAGGTGAGAGCAACTCTGAACATCTATGACCGTATTGGTCAAAATGATCTTAAATATGGTCATTGCCCTGAATCATATTTCATAAACTAAAATCATATTTCAATTATTTTGTTGTACCTACAATCCAAAAGGCATATTGCAATAAAATCTGGAAAGAAGCAGGATGGACAAGGTTTTAGTTCTAATTTGTTACTATGCTTACCAATTGCTAAATATTTTGAAACTACCTCTGCCCAGGAGTTTATTTACTACATTGATTAAAAAAAAAAAAAAAAAGTTGGCGTTCAGAAATTATTTCTTGAGGAGGAAATTTACTAGAAAACATTTTGCCTTAAAATTACTTAAAATGTGATCCAGTTCAATGCAAATTATAGAAGTTATGCAAAAATTATGGAACAAAGGATCACTCAATTCTAAGTAAAGTTCAAAAGTACATTTATTTAAAATGTGGGCAAGATCTCAATATAAAAGAAAACAGTATAAGAAATAAAAATAATCAAAGTACAAAACATTTCAAATTTTTAACATCCGTAATTTAGAGATAGCAAGGTCTTTATTTACACCACTTTATTTGTAGCTGAAGTCCCATAACAGTTTTGTGAAAACATTTAAAAACCTGGCAAATGAATCAGAAAACCTAATGTGGGCTCTTAAAGTCATATAATACACAACATAATTTATGTTTCCTCAGAATAAAATTGCACATCTTAATAAGATGCAGTATATTTATTATATTTGTTTTCCTGCTTTTAAGTCTTATCCCCCAAGAAAGCAACTGGAAAACACAAGCATCTGAAGGAAGCCCTGGTGCTTCATCACTGCCAGACAGCCGGCCTTGGGCCCCAGGACTCCAGTCACACAGCAGCCTCGACTCTGTCAGTTAAATTTATATGTGGGCCTGTTGAGGAAAACAACTTGCAAACACAAGGCAAAAGAAAAACGTTAAACAAAGGGTTCCACTATTAACCAGTTCCAGATACACCATTACAAGAATGCCACCGCATTTTTCTCACCATCTAAACCAGTGAGCCCGATGCACAGGGCTCACTCAGCCTAGGGACCCCACATCAGTGTTTGTCAAAGCTACCCAGTTGGTTCTACCATGAGACCAAAGCTGAGGCCCAGTAATGAGTGAAATTTCCTTTACATTAACCTGAACAATGGACAGGCTTGAAGGGTTGATATCCCTAAAGACCCACCACAAATAACTGATTTCTACCAACATCTTCAAAGGCACCCGCTGACCTCTGCAATTCTAAAACATCTGCTTTGGGCAAAATTAATTAGTCTACAGATATAAGGAAAAGTCTCTGAGATAATACTTACAAATTACCCATATACAAGTGGGACCCCCCAAAACAGGAATTATCTTTTGGAGGGCAGGCCCTTGTAGTCCAGGCTTCCCCTGCTAGGTTAAGTGTTCTGAGAACCTATCAGCAACAGTGTAACCAGCTAGCACTGTTGTGGGAGGCTGCATCTGGCTTCAGCAAATTTTTTTTGGAGATTCATTCTTTCTTTTGAATTGGGGTCTCACTCTGTTGCCCAGGCTGGAGAGCAGTGACACACTCACAGTCACCCCAGCGTTGACCTGCTGGGCTCTAGTGATGCTTCCACCTCAGCCTTCCAAGTAGCCAGAACTACAGGTGCCTGCTACCACGCCTGGCTAATTTTTTATGAGGTCTTGCCAAGTTGCTGGGCCTCATCTCGAACTCGTGGGCTCAGGCAATCCATTTGCCTCAGCCTCCCAAAGTGCTGGGATTACAGGCTGAGCCTGGTCTGGAGGTTCTTTCAATGTGATTGCCCATTTCATGATGGGTGATTTACGAACTCACCTGCCCACACCACACTGTGTTCAGCAGTTTTTAACCAGAAACGGAATGACCTCTCTACCACACTTCCCCTATTCACCTGATCTCACTCATCCCAGTGACTGTTTTTTGTTTTCCCAGATGAAAAAAAGTCCTCAAAGGGGGAAAAAAAAACCAAAACGGCAGAAGAACTAAAAGGTATCAAAATCGATGAGTTCAGAAACTGTTCTGAGCAGTAGAAAAAACATCTTGGTAAGTGTATTGCATCAAATGGGGATAATTTTGAAGGTTACTGAAGTAAACATGCAAAAATAAATGGATAATTTTTAAAGTAAATTCTGGCTTTTTTTTGGAGTTCCTTTTTATAACTTTTAAAACAATTCTTCCTCATAGGCTTTCAAAAATATAAATACTAATGGTAGAAAAAATTCTGGAAAAATCGCACAAGTACATACCGTATAAAACCCGAAAATGCTTATAGCATATCTACAAAAACTAAACAGGTCTTTTATCATTTCTATCAGTAACTTGTGCAATGATTCCCTAATAGATGGAGATATGGAATGTACCAAGCTCTGATATGCATGGTTAAGGGGGTTTCTGCACCAAGCATTCCAACTAGGTAGAATTCATGTGTGGCTAAACATGACAGTTGCTTCTGGAACTAAGGCAAATTTCACCTTTTTTTTTTTTTTTCCCCCGAGTTGGAGTCTCACTCTGTCACCCAGACTGGAGTGCAGTGGCCGCTCCCGGCCACCACAGCCCTGACTTGCTGGGCTCCAGCGATCCTTCCGCCTCAGCTTTCCAAGTAGCTGGAACTACAGGCGCATGCTCCCACGCTCGGCTAATTTTTGATTTATTGTAGAGATGAGGTCTTGCCAAGTTGCCCAGGAAGTTCTCGAACCCAGGGGCTCAGGCAATCCACTCACCTCGGCCTCCCAAAGCGCTGGGATTAC